CCTGTTTCAGTGTTCGGCACTGACGCAGGGCCTCTGGTATGTGGGGTGTCCTGCCTACAAGTTCCATCCACCTCACTTCATTCTCCTCTTCCTCACCCCTACACTTTATTTCGTCATGGAATCAAAAGTCTATTTCAGAAAGAATACGTGCTTGAAGGAGGAATTCTGCTGCCCAGGATATTGTAAACATCCTGGAATGTGTTATTAGTGCATTTCTACATTTTCCTTTACAGTCACGAACACCCCTTCCATTCAGCAGTCCGGTTTAGTGGAGCTAGGTTTTATGTATTAGAAAGATGAACAAGGCCTTGTAGAAAGTACCGTGAACTACCCACCCTCATTGTATCACTCACTGATGCTGGAGTTGAGTTGATACACACCATATCAAAATGATTCCAGCATTTAAACCAAGTTTGTTCCCCATACTCCCAAAGACCACAGCTCTGTGTGGTAAGAACCAAAGCATTCATCATTTATGGCTGAAACTATTCATTGTTCATTTATCAAAAATCTTCGGGTTTCACCTTCTCAAAAGGGAATATTTCAGTTTTTGACCGTTAATCCATAATAAAAATACAACTTGAAGATTAAATATTAAGAATCTGGGAAATTGCAATTTTTGGCTACCATCATTTTCTAAACATTATATCCATTATATTATCTATGGATTCATAGAAACCCGTAAAAGGTTTTGCTATTCACTTATATAACAATTATATCTCATATTCCCATGCTATTTTGACGTCATATATACTAAATCTGTAATGTAAAGATATACTAATAAATTGTTTCATTTTCCAGGAATGATTGAGAAGTTTACGCTTTATATAACTTGTAATACTGTCTGCCCTTCTTGCCTGACGGTCCCTTTTCTCCCTGCTGGTTTCCTCTCATCCCTCCTATGTTCTGCTTGTTTGACCCACCTGTCTGCCCTGCTTGGGACCGGTGGGTGTGCTGCTGGAGCTGCGGGGTGTGGGTCCCAGCAGCCCACTGCTGCCCAGCAGGCCCAGCCTGGCACCCGGCAAGCTCCTGGAGGGCATCTGGAACTGACGGAGGCCTCCTCCGGAGCCCGACACGCTTGCCCCCAAACACGCCAGCGTTGGGGAGAGAGTTAGACTGGCCGAACCGGCCTGCAGCAGGACGAGGACAAAGAGATGCAGGTACACATCCATTAGGATCCTGGTCACAGGACATTCATAAAGGTTCACAAATAATGAGCTGAACATTTAGAAACCTCAAGTTTGTTTGTGAATTTATGATTAAATGATAATCCTAACTTTCTTTACTGAAGCGGAGGTCGTAATCTCACAGTCGTTCACGTTTATTCTCTTTTTAGTCAGATACTGCTTTTGTAATCGCAGACATGTGAACAAAGGAAATAAATGTAATGAGTGAACTTCATTATATTTGAATATCTTTTTTTTCACATTTAATTCATTCAGCACAATATTTATTTCCATATGTCTGTCAGCCTTGATTTTCAGATTGTTTCATAAAAGTTAAAGTGACTTTGATTAAAAGTGTTTCATCACAGCCAGTATAACCCAGGAGAAGAGATACTGCATGGTCCGTGAGGATTTACCTCCTCTGCGTTCGGTACCCCTGCGATTGTCCGAGGAGAGTTTTCCTTGGAATGGACCGGAACGAGCCTCTGGACCTGTTGTTTCCATGACAACAGCCTCTTCTTCTGCGTCTCAGTGAAGGACTGACAGGGAGTGGGGAGGGGAGAGCAGGGAGTAGGAATCAGGGATTAAATGAAGCATTTCTTTGCAAAACAGGACTCTATGCTTTGACAAAACATCATAATACACAATGCACATTTATTCATTTCAACTTAATCCAACTGATCATTTACTCAAACTCAGATTCTAAAAATGATATCATTTTTTTCTTTCAAGATTTTAATGTGTGGCTAAAATGTTAATATTGACAGAAAACACAAAAATACTGTTCTGACATAGTTACGAGGAAGGTATGTCAATGTCTGCATGTAGATGTATTTAGGGTAGACCTATTATGTTCACCAAAATCTGCAGATAAATAGTCACAGGTATTAGATAAGTAAGTGAAGGTGAAGTGTGGGACAATAGGAATCATTTCCTCTTTCATGATTTTTCTAGAATGAAACTAAACCTCCTGCACGGTCTGTTCCTAGTATATGATGTGCTTTATGTATATTTGGTCATTTCTTACCTCATGTATAAGGCACTTGTCGATGAGTTGTAGGTAGGAGCTGATGTTGTCCTCGTCTGACCTCGACACCAGTAGTTGGGTACAAACTGAGAAGGATGGAAATAAGACGTTGTGATAAAACAAATCTTTCTAAGTCAATGAAAACCATCTGACCTGAGAGCTGGTGCATGCAGCCCACCTTTGCCCATGACACGGGTGAACTGGCCGGGTAGATCTCCCTCAGCGATGACGCTTGTGCTCGACTCAGCCTCCCCTCCGCCTCCCCCGACCCCCGTCAGGTGGGAGCCCGGCGCTGCGCTCTTGCTTTCGGGGCTCAGCAGGGCCCGCTGCATAGAGGCCTCCTCGCCACCATTGAAAGCCTTGATAGGCGTCATGATCATCTGATGGAGCTCCTGTAGGGGCGAGCGCAGATTACTGCCCTCCAACACATCCTGTGGTAGACGATAGGAGGGAAGAGGAGGAAGAAAGGGTTATGAAAAGGAAGAAAATAACCTCTACTACAACAGGAAACATTTAACACAATCATACAAGACAAATCTGTTACTATGGGCCAACATGAAGAATATGAACAGATGGGAATAGCATCCACACGGCCATGTGATAGAGCAGAGAATAAAGTAACACCAGAAATACATACATGTGGTTTTCCTTCGCTACTTGTGTCCGTGATATCAGACTTCCTCCCACCCGGAGTCTGTGTAAACCCAAAATACCAAGCAACAGGTGTCTTGTTTCCCCAGCCCTACCAGTGCAGCGGTAACACATTTTGAAATGAAGCGCTGGTGAAAAGGTTAAGCCTGAATTTAGCCGGCCCAAGAAGTCACTCCTGTGGTTTGCCCTTGAGCGCCATTGTCTTGCTTTGAAGGCTGAATGGAGGGCTGAGGGGTGGGGGGAAGAGGATGGGTTTACATGTGGAGCCCAAAACTCTCCTTCCGGGATCTCGGATAAATAACGCCCACTCAGAATGACCACCCTTCTTACTCGAGAAAGGAGATCAATATCCAAAAACAAAAGTGCAATTCAAAAATAAATGAATCAACAGAACCCACAAAGTTCAAATAATGAAGGGTAAGACTAGAAGATGTATGCAATCTTTTTGGTGAGAAGATGAAGAAGATGATGATGATGTAGTAGTACAGTTACTGACCTTTTCCAAGCTGCGAAGTAGATTCTGTCTGTCTTTGAGCTTCAGAATGCTGATAACAATCTTGTGCCTTGCTCCTTTAGTGACCTTCTGTTGGAAGAAAAGGTTGTGTGTCAAACATCTCTGTGCACAGTGTAAAAAGAGCTATAGACTGATAGCTGATGTGAAAGATAAAGAGATGGGAAGTTTGCAAACATGGAGGGTAAAGCTTCTTGAAATTGGCCGGCTTGTTATCATTCAACAACAGGAAGGCAGATATTTTTGCGGTAAATGTAACAGCAGGAGACGCAGCCAGTGAATGTTGGAGGGAAATAACTAATCAGCCCATCTTTGGTTGGGAGGGCAGAAGTGGTTAACACCGATTCCAAGACAAATCTGTTACAATGGACCAACATGAAGAATATGTCGATGCTTCTTCTAACATGTCACATTAAGAACTGATACTGAACATCTGTGTATTTCCAGATCAGGCCAATATCAGTCAATGTAATCCATTGTGTGTAGCATCATGTGAGGGTCAGATAGAGAAAGAGTTAGCAGCACCTGGAGGAAGTATACAGCTTCCCGGTGGGCTGTGTTTAATTTTAGCTGCATCCTCTGTTTCAGACAAAACTCTAAGTTCAAACACAGACATCGCTACATTAGAATCCTTTATTCCAACAGTAACAACTTGACCTGGCTTGTTACATCATTGCATCCCTTAAATAATAAGCCAGATTAAAACCGGTCCATATTTTTCTTTTTGTTCATACTAGTGCTGAAATGTTTCTGCTCTTATCTCCTGCCATGCATTTAACACAAGTATTACAGTATATTCAAATGTCTTCTCTATTTACATCAGCGGATAGAAAAGAAAGTATACTGTGACAACTATTGCCAATTAAAGTTCTTACATTTGATGCAATTTAGATGTAACTAACTGTGGGTGCGTGTGTGTAAATATATAAAACCTGTGCCTCAAGTTGCTCTTCGGTCAGTGACATCATCTCATCGTAGGTCATCGTGGAGAAGAGAGCGGCGTACTTATGGAGACGGAGACTCTTCAGCCACGCAGGAACATCTGGGGGCAGAAGACCCATTATTATGATATGATCATTTCACCGGGAAGCTGTCATTCTGACATTATAACTTCTGTAAGCAATATACAACATACATGCTATTTCTTTGTTGTAAACACAAATACACTATGGAGTAGAGATACATACATCAAATATACATAATAAACAAAACACTTTAAAATAAAAGAGAATAGTGTTGACATTGACATACATCTTTAGATGTCAACCTTAAAATCCTACAGAATAAATTAAAAGTACACACATATATCGGTCCCGCACAATAAGCTAACATACAGAATACGGTGGACCAAATACGTAATGCATTATTCAAGCTCAACATCAATCAATCATCAAACACATCTCTTTTGATAAATACGTATCATTATATTGCATATCTTGAGCCCCTGTACAAATGTATTTATCAGATGTGTATATAAGCTTTTAGAAAGACAAAGCATCAACAAGTCAATTATATGTGATTACATGTAGAGTTAAACATTTCTCTCTAACGTGAGTTTAGAGTTAGGAAAGCATGTTTCTCTTTTGTGTTCATGGTCATTGTATGTTTCCTTTATTGTTCTGAAGCTCTGTATTGATCTGAGGATTACATTTGACCGGAAGAAGTCTTTTATAAATACGTGAGTGGCATTGAAAGACCCAGACCTCGCACTTCCACTAAAGTAAAACATACTTTAAACTAGTATTTGATCATTATTAGACAGTTGTTTGATCCAGACCCTTTGATTAAGGGCTGAGCGATTTGAAAGAAGTCATTGTGATTATTTGACCTGATATTGTATATGCAACATAATTGAGGATATTGGAGTGAATGATCATGCATGAGCATCTTCATTCTCTTTTCATAGAAAACCATGTTTAAGTGTAAAAGAATATCTCTAAGCCAGGTCATCTCTGTATCACAACAAAACTTATCCTCCTGCAATTTGAATATTGCATAATCCATATTGCTACACAATAATGGCTGTACAATAATTGTACATTAAGAAGGTAATGCTCTGTCAACCTTATTTCCCCTCCTGATACTTGACACCCTTCAGGAGAAAACCTAAGAAATGGTGTCCCCTTCTTCCTCAGAAAGAGAAATTGACAAATGTGAGCTTGTCCTCTTGTGGGTGTTTGAAGATGTTAGTTTTGCTTTCCTGTTTAGCTACATGACAAGATGAAAATGATTGTTTACAGAAAAGAACGACAGACGCTAATTGAAAAGTTAAACTCCAGCTCAGAGAGCAAACACCTAAGCCTTATTGGGGCCGCAGCTCTGACCTGTACTCCACCGGACAAACTGCTCTGAACAGATCTGCAGCTTGCAAGATCCGCTAGCTGATCACCTGTAAGGCACACACACATACCTTTCTCCACTAAACATGTCTGTCCCTGTAAGAAACCTGGGTCTAATAGAGAAGTTTGATGCCTGTCATTTCATCCACTTCTCTCCAGACTGCACTTAACTGTCCGCATCTATCTTCGGCAAGAATATAAAAAAAAACTATTTAAATCGTACATTTTTTTTTTTATTAAGAGGACAACTGAACACTGGAGGGAGGGATTTAAATTATGTTTTACCTTCTTAAGTTAAAAGGTATGTGTTTCATTTAAAAATGTTTGCACAAATATTTGACCATTGTTAAACTAGCCTAATTGTAATAACTTGGTAGAGGTTTTGTTAAAAATGGACAAAGAAGACATCTTGTAGACTCTACTCTGCAATAGCAGTAAAAGGCAGTGCTTTTTCACGCATGTCTGGTAAACCTTTCCAAGGGAAAGCAGCCACAGCATATCTGAACGAATGGCTGTTACAAAAGGTTTATAGTTGTTAATAGTAGTTTGTCAAAACCCTTGCAAATGTGCTTTTCAACAGTGTGTGCGAGGGTACGAGTTAGGCAAGTTTGAACCTCAATATCTGAATGTCATAATCTCATCTAAGGATGTGAACTGGAGTGAACTGCACTACAAACGGCGCACTGGTCATTCATACACACCCCTCATGCCGCTGCCCTCATCGTGGAAGGAACTGCGATGCAGACCTGAACCTCCTAAACCAGCCTCCTCCAGATGCTCACTGCCCCCACTGCCAGAGGAGGCGATGCTGCTCTGGGGGGAGAGAGGTGCGTGGTCTGGGGCGGGGCCTCTAGCAGAACGTAGGTCCTCTTGGGACAGCCAGACGTGACCCAGAGGCTGGTTGCTGGGGCCGCTCATGGGAGGGGTGAGGGACACGGAGCGCTTCAGGGGACTGTGCTGCTGGCTGCCACCTCCACTCGTCAGGACTACAACACAACAATAAGGCTAGTCAGGTGGGTGCAGGCTGAGAAACAGAGCTTGGCTAAGACTGAAGATATCCTACTGGAAAAAACACGCTGTTGACTCAATCATGTATTTAATAACACTTTACATATTAAGTAAATTTGTCTGGTTTGTCATTATTCCCCTTTTCTCAAGTTGATATTGTATTCATCTGAAGATATCTTTAAACAACTGTATCAATAACCCAAACCCACTAACAGTACGTTTCTGGCCAAAACGACATTTTTACAAAATTACATTTCAACACATCATGATAACTTTAAAACGTAACTTAGCCCTGTACATTTTTTACCGAGTATGGGCATCCCTACATCTTTTGCACACAACATAGTGTCGATCTGAGTTAGTTAAAATATTATATTAATGTTAACAATTGTTCTTTGCCAGAGCCTCACATCACACAAAGTACATTTGGGGACAACGAGCACACGTTGAGTAAAAACAATTTAGCACCAACGACAGGAAGTATCACATTGGGAGTGTAATGTAAATAAAGTATATCAAATCATTTGATCAGTCACAGTCTGACCATGAAGGAGGGTTAATACATTGTTTAGTAAGTCATCTACCTTTTACAAAGTATATCTAAGTCTCTCTAATCAGATACAAATGTCCAGCATGACTCGGATGTCTTTGATGAATTTGTACTTTTAGATAGAAAATAATATAAAAGTGGGAAAGTGTTGGTTTTCAAAATAATTACACCCTTTGGTTAACATTCATTTACTTTGTAGAATTGCTCATCCTCCTAACTATGCCAGTCTTTTCTAGAGCAGGTCAAATCACATTTTGCTGCCACGCATATGGTAACTGCATAGTTGATTTTCCATCCCTAGAACTTCACTTTTAAAAAAGCTCTGATATTAAATATAAACCTAGATTTGTTTCTGAGTTGAATAGAGACAGCTGGAGGGAGGACGCTACATCAGGGGACACGCACAACTCTCCGGATGTCTGCACCTGCTGACGTCCTGACTTAACCAACTCTCAAACACATGTAACATAATGACAAATCTTCCTTTTTTCTCTCTTCATCTTCTTCAATCATTTGAATCTATGCACCCAAGGGTTAACGACGAAGGCCTAAACCAAGGTAGCTACTGAAATCCCAATATTTGAAACCCAATAAAAGCAGCTAACATCCCCGATGATTGCTGCTGAGGGAAGTAAACAGAAAGACAAGGTGGAGAGCCAGGGAGCTTTTTGTGCCGCCGCTCTGACGGGGTAAACTGCCACCAATACTCCAGGCTCTCTCCTCCTCGTCCTATATGCGGTGCTCTTACTGTTAGCGCTATGTATAGGACTTCATGGGCCCTGTTTAAAATAGGTGCCCAGCTAACATTACAAGTTCCAGTCCCTAAATATTAGCCATTTTCCCTAAATACAGTCTCCCACAAAGGCTGCCTTACAAGGGAAAGGATGGGTGTGCTGCTGGGGCTTGGGCGACGGTTGAGAGTATGGGTGGGGGGTCAACAGGATGTGGTGTCAGTAGCATACAGGTTGACGTAGCTGGACCATCATACCCCTGTAATCTCCATCAGGACTGATAGGAATTGTTTCTATGTTGTATATTTATGAATTGAATGATAACTGTATTCATGGCTTTGTTGTACATGCTTCGATCTACATTAGACTACATGTCCACAGGTTCATTCCAGTTCTAGGTAATCCAACACTCAAATTGATTAGCCTCTGCTCACTGTGTCCACCAGTCCTCTGCTGGGGTAACTCTAGTTTATCAATTGTGAAATCCTGAGGTCTTGTGTGTGGGACTGAAGCTACTAGCAGTCAGAAATACAAGAGGGTCTTTCTTGGAGCAGTGAGCAGGGCTTTAAATGTGCCTTTATTTATAAACCCTCAGCTGTTTCTTTCATCTCCCAGAAGAAAAAAACACAGAGCCCTTGCATTCTTGTCTGGAAATATCTTGCTCTGACCATAGTTATGTTCAATTTCAACAGCCCTGCCCTCTATATGTTGTGTGGTACATCCCTCTGTAGGTGATGTCTTATTAGGTGTTCCGAGTGAAGGCTATTTCATGTGCAGATTCTATTTAGCGCGTTTTAAATGTATTTAGCGGGTTTGGTAAGTTTATAGTGCACCTTGTGTCTTAAATTGAACGTTAATGGAATCAGCAATTGGGCTCAATTTAAAAGGTGTTGTTGTGCTGTCTTACAATTATTAGAATTATCGAATCAAGCATAACAAATGGGATTGCTATGATTTTAAATACAGCAGAGAAGCTTAGAGACCCTAGTGTGATGTGTTCGGGGCGGGGGTAATCAGGTGGCCACCCCGGACAGAGAAGCTTTCATCAGGCCAGCCCAGAGTACGTGGCTGTAAGCACTGAGGTGTTCTCTGATGGTGAAGTGGGTTAGACCCACCTTGCATTTAGAGAGTCTGTGGTGGAAAGTAGCCTATTTCACGTCAGAAAACACAAGGTAATCAAAGCAACTGAAGTAGATCACATTTTTAAAATGCAATCATTTTTAAATAATTTGTGCTTTTTCAATCAAGGCTTTTTTTAAAGATGGTGTGTGTAGCCAAAATCACAGCCAAACTACACCGAAAGAATGTCTGAAGACAAACAATTACAATAAAAGTTATTTTGTGTAGAAAAGATGATACTATGTGAAAGTAAGTAGAGTATTTAATAACGTCTGTAAAGTGGGGCAATCAAATAAAAAAAGACCTGCATAAAATGTCCATCACTAAAGAGAGAGTAAATATTATGGAATAGTCTAAACCTGTGACTAAGGAATCTAAACGTAAGCAGATGTACGAGCCAAGGTGTTTTGAGGCATTCTGTGTTGCATCTATATGGTTTTGTCATTTGTGAATGACAATGATAACAGTGGACTAACCCAGTTGGACTTTCTGGTTCCTTGTCTCTTATAATGAAGTGCTTCAAAGAATCCTCAAAACACGGACAGGAAGAGAGAGGGTAAAAGAGGAGACCTGAACAAAATACACTCTTGATGGTGAAGCACTGGAGAAAACGTCTTTTTGAGCCTTTCACAGCCTGTCAACAAAATAAATATAGGTGTGGGTGTGGATACATATTATATTGTGAAGTTAAAAGAAGCTTACTTTGTTGTAGTTGGTAACTGTTAAGATGAGCATTAAGGATTTAAGGTTAGGTTCTTTTGGAGACTACCATTTGATTTAGAAGTCTGCTGTAAGTTATACTGATGTTCTATACAAACTAAAGCTTTTACAGATGTTTTTAGTTTTTGAATATTAAAAGGCAAACTGTTTTGTTTAGGCTGACACATAACACTATTTTACTTATTTTACTGCCATTCTATGTTAACTTAGTATACCTATTTTATCATTTTTTTTTAAATATCCTTAATCGCAAAAATACTTACATGTCAACCTTTTTTGTGTCTGTTTTGATCATTTCATGATTTATTGAAAGGTTGTGGGAAAATGGCTTATACAGTAGAAGGCATAGAGGAAAAAACTTTTCTTACCAGTGGTACCGCCTCCACCAGTTCCAACTGTGTTGATGGTTGTGGGCACAGAGGATGATGGGTAGAGAAGGAGGTGCCCGTTCTCACAGCCCTGCTGCTGCTGATGCCAGCCTCCGCCCAGCCCTGAATCCCTGGAGCTCTGCCAGCCGTTGAGGCGGTCGTCCGAGCCGTAGCGCTGGTGGTGATGCAAGGAGTAGAGGTTGCCTGATGAAGAGGTGTTGGTGGAGGAGGAAGATCCTGTTGATGAGAGGGTGGATGGAGGCGTGGACTGGTGGTGGTGGTGGTGTGGTCCCGAAGGTGGAGGCCTTTCCAGTGAGTCTCCCCGGGCAGCGGCCCTCTCCTCCAGGTGGTTGAGCCACAGTGCCAGGGCTGAGCGGTCCTCCAGGGAGGTGGCGGGGTGGATGAGGGCGTAGGACAGGAGCTGGCGGGACTCCTCCAGGTGGCGGCCATGCTCGATGGTGTGGGCCAGGATGCGTGGCAGCAGGCGCATGTACTCGCCCTTGGCTTCGACGTTGCCTGGTTTGAGCAGCGGGAGGTGGGTGAGGACGAGCGAGATGACACGCTCCTTAGACTCTCCTTGCCATTGGCTAATCACGCCTGAAGGAGGGGACAGAACACAATTGGTATTAACAACCAATAAAACACATGTTATCAGTGCTTAAAAGAAAGTCACATTTGGCAGTGTATCACTTTAAAGTGTATGAATTTAAGCTTTCCTTATGTTGTCAGAGTGGTGCAGGAATGAGTCCTGAAACTCCTAAATGAATGAACATTTTAGCACTTCTGGTTCCCTTGTCTCAAAGTCAATGGTTTTTTGAATGGTATTAAGGTTTGCCTGAAATAAGGTCTTTGGTTAACAACACAAACTTATACATTTCAATGTTTTGTTAAACAACATAAAATATGTGAGTAGATACCCCACTCGTGAATTTCTGAAAGTTTTAAGTTATTTAAAAACATGGTTAAATAAAACTACTAAACAACAACACGTAAAGAATAAGTTTGTTTTTAGCTTAGCTTTACTGACATGAAGCTATCCTTGATGTAGTTTGTTTTATCCTAATGTTTTTACTTATGGCGCTACAAAAATGATAAAAGCAGTATTACTATGTGGACATTTTCCCGCCAAAACAAAACGTGTAAGTAATATCATAAACGTGTGTTTGCATAAGAGCTTATTTTCTGTAAAATTCCAAAAGAAGAAAACTTCTGGGCGGGTTTTCAAAAATACGTCATCCCTGCCCCACTCATGGGGGACCTTGACTGACCAGGATACATAATCTTAGATTTGAGCTTTTTGATATTCAAGGTAGTAGCAAAGGAGAATGTAATTGATAGATGGACAGATGGATTAGCCAATGGTAAATAGAAGACACAAAGATGATGTCAGGCCCACTGCAGCGTCATACTTCTAATGAGCTCTTTCTTAAAACAGACAGCTCTGTGGGTTACTTATGCTGGCCGGGCAGCTCTATACATATCTTTGAGTTAATGGAACTCTATTGTTGTCCGAGTCAGTGCCCATTCCTCTCATCTGGGACCACGGCTATAGATACCAAGCGGTCAGGGCGACTGCTTTGGACATTCACACAAATAAGGCAGGACGCAGGTCGGCTCTACTTCCTGCATGGGAGATGTGCATGTATGAATTGTCTACCAAAGTCACTTTTAACTGACAAGGTTCTCTAAATCCGACATATGAGGTGAAATTAGAACATACATCTGCTAGCTGTCCAAAGATATCCCAATGTCACAGTCTACTTTGTGGTGATGTACAGCTCACTCCGCCCTGTGGAGTGGACAGCTGCAGCTCTGAGAGGGCAGATGGACGACCACAGACCCTAACCCTTCCAAACAAGGTTCACTTTTATGTCATCCCGTGAAAAGTGACCAGGATAGAGGGATAAGATACTCACAGCATGGAACTGTGGATGTCGGGTCGGGTAGGGTTAGGGTTAGCTAACCCTAACCCTAACCCACGTGTGTTAAGACAAATCATAGTTTGGCCATTGAAGTTTTATATTGTTGGATCAGTTTATGCAGGCTTGGTTGGTCAACATCTATCTCAATTTTAACATTTTCTCCTTGATAAAACAAAGGAAAGAAGAACCACCCCAACGCTGGATCTAACAAACCAAAAAATGTGAATCTGACTGCTCAGAAATCCTGGCAATAACCAAAACAGTAAAAATGTAAACTCCTACACAAGTTGCCCACTTCTTTTGACTTTCGAAAAGATTTGTCTTTAACAAAAACACTCGCTTTTTTTTAGAAAAACTCTTTGGATCCATGTCAGGTAATGACACTAGGTGACATAGAGTTCAAGGTGGGCGGGGTGTCCTAATGCTCAGCAGACAGAGCACAGTAAGGGAGGGTGACATAGAGTTCAAGGAAGGAGAATGAGCGGGGAAACTTGAGGTAGAAAGTAGTTTGAGGGAGAATGAGAGGAGAAACAGAGAGAGGGGGAGAGGTGTGAGGGAAGCCAGGGAGTAACTCCCCTCTGCTCCAGGAGTGATGTCATCCTTCATTCCTCTGAATGAGGCAAGCCCTGGTCCATCAGAGAACAGGAATTGTTCCATGATTTAAACTCATTGATTTCCAAGTGACTGGAAAACATCAATATGTAACACAGAAACCTTCAATAATACGCTAAGAAGCTTACATAAGTAGTGGTGCAGTGCCAACTTTTAAATACCAAACAGTTTAAAGGTGTTTCTTCTCATTTGTTCGACTTTCTAAGATGGTTGTTGTCTACTAGCACAAGTTACGCAGAGATCATAAATAGTCCTGACTGAACATAGCCCTCAATAACTCCACAATTCATTAACCATGGCAACATGTCTCTATCAAAATAGGAAAATACTTGACATCACTACCTGTTTATTAACATTTGTTTGATCATCAAAAGCCTCTCTCTCTCGAGCGTATTCAAAGCCTTCAAAGTGTTTTTAAGTTTAAAGCCAACATGTGCTGAATTAAAACAAGTTTTATTTCTCAACTACTTTCTCAATACACTTGACCTCCTTCACATAGTGTACATGTAATACATGTAACACAAGATACTTGCATATTGTGGTGAATCTGCTCTGTTGTGTACTGCACACATTTCTTTAAATCTAGACACAGGACTCCTGCTAATTTGACTCAAATATAAACTAGTGATGTTATCACATGAAAGACAATCTGCATTGTAATTGTCCGTAGAAGTAACACAGACCGGGCCGGGCTGTAGGTGAGTGACTGATGACAAAACGCCCATTATTCAGAGACATTCTCACTTCTTCCCTCCATACATTTCCACAGAAGGTCAAAGCCTAGCACTCTCCTGTGAACTCCTATTTAAGGTTTGGAATGCAGGCTGATATATATAAACAACTACAGTAAGTATACTTACACTGAGGGAAGATTCCCATAAGAAGCTAAGTTAAGTGAAACCATTTCTTTCAGAGTTTAATAAGTAGAATAAACATGCAAATGAACAATCCTAGATCATTCTCAACAACGGCATTAGCTAAGAAAGGATGCTAAATGTTGCTGGATGTAGTTCTATATTGTTGCACACGAAGTTGATGTTTTTTTAACAGCTTACTACAAATACTACTAGTGTTTGGACTGCAAAACACACCCACATATGCACACAAACATCTGTGCTCTGTGTGGTTGCTGTCATTACCAGACTTTTCACAGCAAATTATTTGCTAGAATTACAAGGTTTCACTCTTCGTGTAACCCTTTACCAATTGATTTCATTTGCATGTTTCTGGCTGTGAGAAGTTATTCTTTACAAAGGAACTTCTAAAGTTATAAAAACCTGCTTATGACAGTGTTCTGAATATGTTGTTGTGTAATTCAGGAGCTAGGTATTTGTTCCTTAAATGTATGTATTTGTAGTCTTTAAGTCAGACGAGAACGGCTGGAAAATAGTGTGAAACCACTACACCTAGAATTCAGGAAGCTGCTTGAGGCTAATTGACCTTTTTACTCCAAGGTCATCAGTCAAAGAGTCAGCCTGGGAGCATTTCCCCACACAGGGAACACACATGCAGCATCTCTCACCACTTAAAAGAGGGGTCATAGTAGTTGACCCTAGCCAAGGTCAAAGGTCAACTGTTAGAGACACAATTGTCTACCTATTACACCAACTATTAAACCATCAACACTGGGTAAATGAATGCTCAAAATGACGAACAAAATGCAGCAAACTCACAACTGAATGCAACAGGATTAGTCTCACACTACAACAAGGCCAAATACAATTCAAAGGTTTTCCCATGAGTGTGTCTTCCCTAGCACGGTGACTCCTACCCTGAGCCTTAAGGGGGAAAGTGCTAACCTCAACTAACTCGAGTGAAAAATGGAGGGGAGGTGGAATGACGGGGGAGCGGTTAAGCTGCGGTTAAAAAGAAACTAATGCAGAGCTGCCACTCCTCCTTACACAGCGATACCAACCCCCCCCTATTCCCCCTCGTTTCTTCGTAGTTTCTGACTCAGTGTTACTCAATGAACTTCCCTGGAATAAGAAAGTCTCTGAACTTTGCATCCACCTGGCCACACAGAGGACGTAGACTCAAGAAGTGAAAATAAAACATCAGCAGGTATAGGTTCATAAGTAAAGATAGCCAATTACAATTGGCCCTAATGGTTCGACACGTTATACTAACATTAGATATTTACAGTCAACAAACATCTTCAGCATTACAAATAGTAAGTTTGATTGTGAGTTTGATGTTAGCCTTAACGTTTGTCACACTTTGCCAAATGTTAACTTAACACACTACCTTACAAATTGCTTGCAGACAAAGTGAATTTTCCTCAGATTTGCCCGTCAAAAAATGTTAGCATCAGAACGTTTTGAAGATATGTGGCTGGTAAAATATTGGTCAAAATGTTACCATGGTTACTCTGATGCAAGCCTGGGTTCATGTTAATTTTTTAGCAGACTCAGACCTACTAATAGTCTCATAATAGGGGTACAGTTGTGGCAAAATCCATATGACACACAGATACAGGGAAATGACTCACAGACAGGAAGTTCATTCTTAAGTATCTCTGATGAGAGTGCTCCATACAAAGTAAGAATATAGATCAAATACAGATCTAACTATACAAACCGCAGCGAGAGAAAGCAAAAGTGAAACAAATGATGTTAAGATTATTGTTCCATGCCAGACAGAGAGACAGGGGTATGCTGGGAATAGTTGAGTCACATTAGCATCATTGAGAAGAAACAATGACGAGGAGAGTCGGACATACACAAACACTAAAACCTCAGACAGAGAGTCATTTTGTTCAGGGGCTGACACAGCATTTCCCTGCTGGTGAACTCTGTGCCACCCTGTCCGTGCTCTGCCCTCTGACACCCTCTCTGGCACCAAGACAAGGGTGCTGCTTTAAGCACCCCCCACCCCCTGCCTCACTGAGTAGAATTCTTCCTCTGTCAACCTTGCGTCAAACCGCCCACTTTCCCCCCCCTTACTCTGGACAATTCTGTCTGGGTTCTAGAGTAAGTACAACAGAAAGAGAAAGCAGACCTGCATTTAAACTACTGGACTACAATTGTTCCAGTCATTCAAACACAGAAGTTGTAAAGAACTCAA